CGCTTTGTGTGTGTGTGGCACTTATTCGTGGAGCCATTCATTCGCTCATTCATTTATTCGCTATTTTGTAGCTCACCACTTTGCTCGCACTTTCCACGCTGCTTTCTCTACTTTTCTTCGTCAGCGGAATGTTGACTTATCTGTGATTGCCTCACCGATATTGTTGTTCTAGCCGTAGTAGCTGTTGTCGCGTTTGGCATTATTTGTTTTATATTTGACACTGGCACACCCACACAACGGCTGCCCTCCCCCCACACTCACACACTCACAATGTCGGAGCCATAAAAATGAGGCTGTGAGTTGCAATAAAATAAAATAAACTGCCGCGCAATATATTTTTTCCTCCGTCTCCACCGCAATCCAATCAGTGCTGTCAACTTCTAGGCTGAACTAGTTCCCAAGACCATCATGTCGAAAAGAATCCCCGATTTTCAGTGTTCTAGCCATACCAAAGATCAAAATAATCCAAGTGTGGAGTGTCATATCTCGTTGAGCTCGTATTTTGATTTCAAAACGATTTGCATAAAGTTTTACAAGCTAATTTTGTACAATTTTGGTTTTTGTTTAGCAAAATCATTACAAATAATCATCCAAATATGAAATATTATACCTAGTTGAGCTCGTGAATTAATTTTCAATCGCTTAGTGTTCAAATCTTAACATTTTATTTTTTTCTCAGTTTTTTGCAAATTTGCGAAAATGCGAAATTGATAATAATTAATTTTTCAAGTTCATCCAAAAAGTGATGTGGGCCGATAGAGTTAGTTATTAGCTTGGTTACTATATTTAGTGAATATCAAAGATTTGCCAGATTTTCTGTTTAAAAAATCAGTATTTGGCCAAATGATTGGAAATAATGGTCCAAAAGGTTTTCCACTGCCATATTTCTGATACCCGGTACTCTGTTTAAACATATTTTTGCATGACAAAAGTTGAAAGTGATTCGAAAACCCCTTAGTCATTATGCATAAGCCCCCTCAACTGAGTGATTATTAAGCTCCACAAACTAATTAGGCGCAGTTAAAAAAAACACAGGAAAATGCTGCCAAATTAGTTTCCTCATTTTTGGCCAACACTGTTAACAGCACAGAGCCCATAGATTTTTCGGTGGCACGTGTGGCAAATGATTATAGTTGCCGACCCGTCCGGCGAAACACAATTCCGGGCATACAAATTATGTAATAATAATAATACAACAGAGGACGTGTCATCTATCATGGCGCAACGAAAGTGTTTGCGTGGGGGGGGTTAATTTTTTTCGTGTGAATATAATGCAGGGCAAGAGTGTTTAATAAAGTTAATAGGGGGCCAATAGAGCACAATGCTGGTCATGCAAATAGGTGAGGGTGCGGCGGGTGCACAAAATATAAATGGCGATTCAGTCGAACGGTTCTTTCTCCGCATTGCACAGCCATTTGTAATTCAAAATGGCAACCGGAAGTGGCAGACGAAGCCATTACACGGATGGTAATAGTTTATGGTCTGGCAGCGTTGAAGGTCAACGGCGCGAAGAAGGTCAGAGTGGGTTGTGGATGTTGCATGGTGGTTTGGGGTTCTTTATTCTTTCTTTTTTTTTGTGGCGTGTAGTTGCTTCTCTTTATTTGCCAGAGATTTATGTGGGCCAATCGAATGTGTTCCTGCCAGTTTGCATTCACTTATCGATTGCAGAATAGCGAGGAAAAAGGGAGCATTGTGATTGCCATTTTCCAGGATGTACACATATATAATGGTAAATGGCTCCTTCTTTGACCAGCCACTGTTCATATCCGTGCGCTTCCGACTCAATTAAGTGCTGCAAAAAGTTCTCATTCAGCACCGGCGACAAATCCAATTAACAATAAAGCGCCGCCCTAATGACACGCCACGCCCCAGAACAAAAAACTATCAACTTTTCCGCAGTTAGTTGGCTAAAAGTGGATTCTACGTTAGCTTACTGCAGTTGGCCAAATTGAATCGCAGCTGTCAGAAAATTGCAGGGTGTGCATGTGTGTGTGTCTGAAAAACAACACACATGCACACAATAACTAGCGAATAAATCACAACGCTATGGAGTGTGTGCGGTGGTATTTATTGATTTCATGTTTTATATTTATGAGTGCAAGTGTTAATTTTATTACCGCAAAACGGGGCGAATGCGTGATATTAATTATTCCTGGTAATAGACAATGAACGACTGGATTGTGTCAATCGATAAGACGGCCAGATAGGCAAATTTTGAAAATCCCACGAAATGCAAATAGATCGACATAAATTTGGAGCTGTAAGTGTCCTACATCAAGGGATGGGATTTTGAGCACGCCATTAGAACGCCAAAGTAGGCAATGAAATTAGTTTTACGAGCTAAGCACACACACATACACACACGCACAAGAATTGGCCAATTTCGGGTTGATTTTAATTGAAGGACATCCGGTGGAGACAGGTGGGCCATTGCACACATCAAAAATAGCGCAATGGCTATAACCAAGTACCTAAATATCCGTATGCCGAGCATCTAGTAACCATGACAGACATTCGAGTGTAAGCCCGGCCAAATATCTTCATTATTGAATAATGAGCCAAGTGTCCTGGCAGGGCTTTAACAGATAATCGATGGGAATTTAGCATAATGTTCTTGTCTCTGCCGACATAATCTCATGACGATCGTTTTGTCGAACGTCCCGAGGCGCAACCCCAATTTCCCGGCAAAACTTTTTGGCCCCACTCCAAGGTGACTTGATGGTCTGGCTGGGATTTTCAGATTTTCAGATTTACCGATTTCCAGACTTTCACATTTATAACCAACACTTTGTTGGCACTGGGCGGTGCCACTTGGCTTATTTATAGAAAACACATTAGCTGAAAACAATCGAGACTTCCCACTTAGCAATTTGGGGACAAATTGTTTCATAATTGATTGATGTGACACCAGCACTGAAGCCAAGTTGCCTCGTTTAGCATGGCAACTGACAGATATTTAAAATACGGCGCACATGTAAGTAATTACAATGCCATCAAATCGAACTTTAGCACTTTGTAGTTTGGAAGTCATGAATGGGGAAAGGTAAATGCTTTACAAAAAAGTTCCCATATTTTCGTTTTGAATTTTAAACGCATCCCAAAACATCAAAGTCTGATAAATTAATAGGTAAATTAATTAAACCAAACCGCACTCTTTAGCAGATACATGACTATACTGTCAAATGCGAACAAGCATTTCCATCAAGCACTTTAATTACATACATTTTCAGGGGAAACGAACGGATACATTTAAGGGCAGAGCGGAGCGGAGGGCTTGCAACTATCCTTTTCCCCGATCCTGCAAAGTGGATGGAGCCTAAACTTTGTGGCTCACTTATCCTCCTGTGTTGCTGCCGTATTTCTGGCGCTGTTGTTTGGTTTACCGAACTGCCAACCGCAGGTTGCCTTCCTTGTCTACTCCGCATTTAGCATTCAGCATTCAGCGCCCCCCCGATATCCTGGTTTTCCCCAATTTCCCCATTTATCTATACGATGTCAAAATAATTTCAATGACACCCGGCATACAGTCGTGACTGGCAGCGTTTGTACTACAATGGTTGGCGATATTTAGACAGATTTTTGATAGCTTTCCCGGCGGCAGGACAGCACTCCTTCAACCTTTCCCTCGCTCTCGCTTTCCCTCCGGCGGCTGTCCGAAATTGAGTTTTGATTTCAAACTCAATTCACATTAAGCGGGGGAGACGTGGCATGATGGGTGTAGAGGTGTAGGTGTGTGGGGTGTGGTGTGTGTGTGTTTCTGCTGGTGATTGCTACAAATTCGATTGATTTAACAGCGCGTTTATTGTGAGCACTTTTGTGCTGGCAGCCAACCAACCACACGCCAAATTTCCTGCACCATCCATTTTTGTGCTCTTTTCATTTTTTTCCCATCCTATGGTCGGAACACGCTCTGATTTGATTTTTTCCCACATTTGTGAGCTTTTTGCTGCCCAGTGAATTGAATATGCCATGACAAATCCGACAGTTGATACCCTCCGAAGGGAAAAAGTCGTACGTGACCATTATCCTTAAGATCTGGCAAAAAGAGGCCTGACATTTTAAAGCGTTCACTTTAAACAAAACATTCTTAAACCGAAAAAGCCTCAAAGTAGACAAATTGTAATTTAAATACATTGCCCAACATTGCTGTTCCATTTTTCATGTATGAAATCAAATATTGTTACTACAAATTCAAGAAAAACAAATTACGATGTCCGGAAATGAAAGTGTTGGCCAGCCAGCCTCTTGCTGCCAGTTTCAAATTATTTTTCCAATTAATATTTGGGCCCTCAACAATTCAATTTGCATGCCAATTTTTTGAGTACAGGGCCCCGTGTGTGTGTTGAAAAGCGTTGGACATACATCTTGACTATCTTTTCTTTATTAGGGGCCGGGCAGAAGGACTATCGACTACTTAGCTCCCGGGTTACTTATAACTAATTGAAATCAGACAGCAAAAAAAAAAAAAAAAAAAAACAGGCAGACGAATTGGTAAATTGAACGAAAAAAAAAGGAGGGGGAAAATGTGTGGCCAGGAGGCCGAGCGATCGAAATCGATGCTGTCAGTTGACAGTTTGTTAATTAAAAACAGCAGCCGTTCGTTGGGCGGTCAGTTGGCTGGTAAATGGGTGGCAGGTGGGCGGTAAATGGGTGGCAAGTGGCAAGTGACCAATGGCAAATAGCGAATGGCCAGTGGAGCGGACATCTCTGGTCCGAGGCGGTCACTCAACGTCTCACGCACACACGCACACGTGACGGGGCTCATGCACTTGGCAGGCTCGGATGGCAAACGTCAGAAGCCCGGGCTAATAAATTGTCCAGAGAATCGAAGGAGCGCCGAACAAAGGAAATGGGTAGAGGTCGGTCTGGGCGATGGCGCGGGCTAGGGGAAGCGGTGGGGCTAGGGACTGGGGGGAAGGGTTCTACTAGTGGCACAGGGGGCGTATGAGCGATGCGTCCAGGATGGCAATGGGGGTGGGCGAAGGGCACTTCTCACTCACCTATCGTCGTAATTAATGTCAGAGAGTAGAGAAAGGCCGAGGCGTAGGTCCATTTATGTGTGGGCGCATTCAACTGGATTCCCCCGGGTGGATAAACCTTCGACTGTCGCACCGCCCGCAGCAAAGTGTCCTGGAAAAGGCGCCAAGGAAATGCTCAATTAGTGTCCCCAAACTGGCCAAGATATTGCAGCGTTTTGGTTATGCTCACCTGAAACAGCTGCACCTCCTGCGCGGCGAGGCGCGTCCAGTTCTCCTTGTACAATATATTGAGGTCCTCCGTTATCGACCACAAGCGGTCCACAGTTCTGTGCGCGTAAATAAAAAACGCCATGTATTTCGTAAAAAAGGTCAAACAAGTATGTAAAACACGTATATATTCACCTGGATCGTATCTCGGCGTTGGCCAGTTCGGTGCGTGGATATGGCTTGGAGGCGGCCACAGCGGTTTCCAGAGCGCCACCATCCTCCAATTCGCCCTCGAGGGTCACGAAAACGATGGAGCCCATGGCGGTGTAGAGCAGCACCAACAAAAGCACGCCTGCGAAGGACAAAGGCTTCATTAAATGCAACTCACACTTCATTTTAGGCCAGTCATAATTCAATTTAGCTAACATATCAGCAGCTGTGATAAATCACTTTTTGTGCCAACTGCCGTATTTAAAATAATTGAGCCGGACAACACGGCCTTTGATGAATACTAATATTTATGCGGCGAACATACTTCGTGTGCAGCATATTTCATATATTGCCAATAAATATTTTTAATGAAGCAATTTTAAAATGGAAATATAACTCATTTTCTGAATATATCGTTACGAAAAAAAGAAGCTAACCATATAACAGGGAAAAAATGGTAACATAAATCATTTTCTGAATCGTTACAAATAGAAAAGGCTAACCATACAACACGGCGAATGAGTAATATTACATTTTATTAAGCATACGCACTGTGTTTTATCACTTAGAGTAGGATACTTTTTCGGGTCTTTTAAGCTATGTAATTTTTTGCTTACCTGTTGCTGAAATGCAGTGCGACTTGGGCGCCTTCTGGCAACCGCATAGACTGCCCCCGCCGCCGGCCGCCTCCCGTGCCGCCTGTTTGTCCGACTTTGATCCCCCGCCGCCGCTCGACGAGCCGCCCGTCGATGACTGGCGGCCACCACGTCCGCCGGAACCGTTTGCAGCCGCCGCCGCTGCCGCCGCAGTTGCTGCAACATTGCTGCTGCCGCTGGCGGCACAGTTTCCGCTGCCGCCGCTGCCGTCGCCGCCGAGAAATGCCGCCAACGGCAGTGGCGACTTCTTGTTCATGGTGCTGGTGCCGCTGACGCTGCCTCCGACCTCTGACCTGCGACCCCTGGCCAATCTGTCAATCAATCAATCAATCTGTTCCAGTCGGCCCGTTGCAGGTGTAAACTCGGCCGGTAAACGATTCGCTTCCCCTCTCTTCTCTTCTGCCACTGACAATCAAATCAAACACTTTGACGCTTCATGTGCCACGTTATTTGCATCCTCATCTGCGCCTCTGGCTTGTGTGAAAGTGGGCGGGGCCTTCTCGATCTTATTATGCGACCGTCATAAAATGTTGTTATTGCTGTACAGCGCCCTTTTACGAGCCTCTTCTTGTTCTCCCTTTCTTTTTCCTCCTTTTCAGTCTTCAGTTGGCTGAATGTGAGTGTGGTGGAGTGCAAATGAGACAGCCTGCCGTGCCGTATGCTGCAAATGCAAAATATTTTCATGAAAACCTGGCCAAAATGAAATTGAAAATGAAAATTGCGATGTGAGTATTTTGGTGCGCTACTCGCACGGCAAACTCCATGTAATTGAGTCAACAGCTTTAGGTTAGCACAAGGAAATATAATATCCTGGCGAATGGCATTCACATATACCTTCTCTATATACTTGACTGGGGAAAGGCGAGTTTAGAATATTTGACATAATTCCAAAGGAGGTGGTTACATCGTTGGTGCCACATGTTACATCATTAATTACAGATCATTCTACCGTTGGATAGTTAGTAGTGTTTGTATGTTAGTAGCATTTTTGTTTTGAGCACCAAATCTACAAAAGCTCCATACAAACCCGCTGAAAGATCGGTTTTTTAGAGTCAGCGGGTGAAACATGCTCATTATCCTGCTAATCACAGTCCACACATTTGCATACGCATTTATGTACACACACATACTAACACACACACATATATATGTACGAGTATCCCGCAGTGTTTGTCGCAAATAATCTGATAAACGTGAAGATGGCTGGCATTTAAATTAAAGATTGCGCCATCCAAGCACAAAAACTTGCCGACTTGATACGACAGCGATTCGCACTCCGGTTAGCACGTGCCATCCCTTTTGTGTAGATTTCTGGACTGCTCGGATCCCAATCCTGTGGCACTTCAATTAAGGACACACCGTTCCACCCAGTTCCAGTTCGAGGCCTGTTTTTGGCCAATCGCTTGGCTTGGCTTGCATTTTTGGCGACCCGCCCTCAATGCTAATTAGGTGAAGACATCGCAGCACGTTTTACTCCACCCAAAAACCACCCGAATTTAATGAAACATGTTCAATTGCTGTCGCCGCACATGTTTGTGGCATATATCCCTTCATTCAATCTTGTTCGTGGAGACCAGATACTGTCCTGCGATAAGTGAGACACAAATTGTGTGAGTTGTGGGGCACAGGGAAAAACAACAAAACTTTTGGCATTTGAAAATCGGGAACTGAGTAGCAGCAGGCGTACACAAAGCAACGTAATTGTTCCTAATTAATTTCTCTGTTTTCGACTTACAAGAGGTACAAATACACACTGGGTTGTGTCTATCGAATAGTTTTCTCATGTTTTCAGAAATTTTTGGAAACCTATTTTCCCCCTCATAAATTAATGCAAATTTCGTTTGCGAATTTCGTTCATTCAGCAACTGTAATGCCACAATTTTCCCTCAGTGTCTGGCCCGTTGAAATAACTACACGCATCAGGCAAATCAAGCGAGGTAATTGGTAATTGCATCTGCATATCAATTCTCTTTGGCCCCACAATTGAAATTGATATCTGGAGCATGGCAGCCATGGCAGCAACAGCAACAGCAGCAGTAAAAACAAAAGCAAAATCACAAGGACATGCAATCGGAATGGAAATACTTTCGGTTCACCTCAAGCCTAATGCGACAGTATTTTCGGCTTTTGGCATTGCCAAATGCCAATCTGCATCCCACAGCCAGCTCCAACACGATTATCCTGCCAATTTGCGCAGTTTCTGGCGAATGGGGCCATCATCAATCATGTGAAAGCTGGATGGACCACAGACCAAAACAATGCTACCCTACGTCCATCAAACCAAACGGAATCAATATCGACCAAGTGGGTGTGATTTACTCAAAACTGTTGCCCAAAAATGAGCTCAGATTTATGAGGATTACGAGCAGACTAATTAAAATTTATTTTATTTCTTTTTTAATATTGCACAGTTTCAAATAACACATCGTTTCATGCTTAAATGTGTTATTTTATTACACTTTGCTTTACGTTTGTTTACTTCGTGCAGTTCATGCAGTTTTTGGGATTAAGAATCCATTATTTAGCTGCCCAAATTTATGCAGTTAAATATTGACTCATTCAAAAAATGCAAAAACAATTTGTTTGCCCTTTTTGTTGTTATTTTTCGATAAGTTTAAATAAGTTTGTTAAGCGTTATAATTTTAAAAATAAATGTTACGCAAATAGCTTTGTTGTATCTTTTGGGAAATATTGTATCAAGAACTCATTCAATCAATTAAAAAGAAATTTCCTATTTTCATTAAAAATGCTATCGCCTTTGCTTCATTCAAAGGCCCTTGTTTTGAACTTGCTTTGAGTATTCCTATTTGGCCTATGCTGCGATTCCCGGCCATCTTGGCATTTAAATATTACACTTGTATTCCACGCCATTTGCCAGCTTAACCACGTTCCCACTCCGCCCACTCTCGCACCCACACTTACACACTTTCACCTAAGGGCGGTGCAACATTTATTTTGCCCTCTTAATTGCTGACATTTATTGAATGCTTCGTCGTGTGTTAAATCTACCGTGAGAAGAACGCAACATCGATGGCGGATTGATTGGAGGACAGGTGGGGGAAACGCCCATGTATGCACGCATTACATGTGTGTGTTTTCCGCTGTGTGTGTGTGTGCATGTGTGTGTTGTTACCTTTGAGTCCGACTTAAGTGCAAACTTATGCCAATTATGCAAAGCTTTTCCCAGCAGGCATCCAGCATTCAATTTTACATACACGCGGAAAATAATCTTTAATTGATTACAATACGAAAGAGCTTAATTAGCAAGGAAACAAAATTTAAATATACACATCAATTAAAATGGTAAAAATCCTTTAAAATCCCATAATTGCACCTTTTCTACGATTGATTGTCATTCACATAATCAACATGTTCATTGATGAATTTCAGATCAATTGCAATTGGTTTCGTTCCGTGTACGCAGAGCACTGTGGAAGTGGAGCAAAGCGGGAAAACTGAAGCAGATTACACGGATCATTAGCTCAAATGAGAAAGTTCACATGTTCAGCTCCTGGTGGTGGTGATGGTTCTCCGGCTTCTTCACCAAACACGACGTCCAGCACTTAATCAAATGCAAGAGCACCGCCTTACCAAGAGAAGCCAACCAAGTGTCCAAGTCCTGCTCGGAGTCCTGGCAAGGACACCAGATGAAAAGGCAGGGAATGGGGCAAGAAGTATGGGGGATGTGCCGCGGTGAAGATAGATGCTTTTAAGATGGCAAGGAAAAGGGCTGGAGTGGTGGTGGTGGAGAAGACATCGAGATGTGTCTGTGTACAACCAATATGCCTGATTGAAACGAAGTAACTTTCCAGGACATGCGACAGGACACACACACGCAGGACACGTGCAGTTATTTGCGGAATTTTGATAGATTTTCCTGCAACTGATTTGCGCACGTCTCAACGAAAGGCACGAGGCGAATCAAATGGAGCGACCATAGAGAGCATCTTCCCACCTTTCCATCGCATCCTTTCTACCGCTCCATTTAATACTAACACTTCCCCTCTTCTCCCATTTTTTTTTTTTTTTTTTTTTTTTTTTTTTTGAAAGTGCAAACCAGTGTCCGTCTTTTTCAAGTCGGTCCTCTGCCGTTTGTAGGATTGTTGCCCTATTGATGACAGGTCACTCGCAGAAAAGAGGGGCATCCACTGAATGGGAAATCTTATCATCTTCCAAAGATAATGTTTTAATTATTAATAATGTTTTTGTGTTTGCTCTGCTGCAAATCTCTCTGCTTTAAATCTTTGATTACTTTCTAAGCAAATGGGTACTTTACACTACATTTTAATAGTTCCTTTTTAATGTTGCCTATGAGTAATTAATAGAAATAGTTGATAGATATTTTCACAAAAAAAAAAAAGAAAAAAGTTACCAGAGTTACTAATCTCGCCAATTAATGGCACAAAATTTCTGCAAGTGCCGATAAAAGAGTCATTACGATGGAAGTGGACAAACTTGGCGAGCGTAAGAGGGAAGGGGAGCACATCACGCATGCCGCCAAAAACGATTCTCGTGTCTAAGCTGACTAACAGTTCGTCCGGCTGCCAGGACATGAGTTCACAGGGGAGGGAGGGGGACCGAAAAAAAAGTTCGAAAAATTGGTAGAACAAAAAAATTGAAAGCCGAATGGAGAGCAACCATTATGGCAGGACCAAAGGCCAAAAGGGGGTCACATATCCAAATATCCATTTCTCACTCATTGCGTTTTTGGCAACTTGCTGCACAATTAAACGGCAAATCACGCCTAGGATTTCGTAAAAGCATCCAGTTCCTCCTCCAGCATCCTCGCGTGAATGGAGCAACAACAATGGATGGCCAAAACCGCACAGAAAGCAATTGGGAAATGGCACAAAAACTGGAGCACGGCCAAAGGCGAAACCATGAGGAGATCGCTGGCGGAGGAGTGTACAGATGCGGATTCGGAGGATACGGATGCAGATGCGGAGGGCAGGAGATTGATGACGTAGCTGTGTGCGGGAAAAACCACCGACGTTGGAAAGTTGGCCGAAGGGCAAAAAGTAAATTGCAAATGAATAGTACAGAGAGAGAGAAAGAGAGAGAGAGAGAGAGAGAGAGAGAGAGAGAGAGAGAGAGAGAGAGAGAGAGAGAGAGAGAGAGAGAGAGAGAGAGAGAGAGAGAGATGGAGAGCGATGGCGAAATGTCTGGACAACCGAGCAAAGGGGGACCAACACTGATCAGGGGGGCGGTTTGGGGCGGTCAACGAGTCATAAAGAACCAGAAAACAAAAGTTAGGCAAAGACCAAAAAATTCCGTGGAAGCCATGAAGCCCCAGGCTCCAACAAGAAAAAACAACAACACAAATTCGGGTTGCGGGGAAAAAAAAGGAGTTAGTACAAATGCGATTCTGTGCAAAACAGAATATATCAGGCTAAGTGACACGAAAAGATCATAAATGTCACAGGGACCAGCAGATAACTACATAAGAATGGAAGGGAAAAAGCAAATAATAAATACATCAAGTAAAGCAGGCACTTTAAGGAACAGCTTTTATTAAAGTTAACAAATATAACATCTATGTAATTACATCAATTAAATAAAAATCATATTTTTTGTAACAAATATGTTTATTGTTAGATCAAGTACCATAAGCAATGCAACACATAAAAAATTATGAAATTAATAGAACGTGTTAATAAAACT